ACACAAATAGGTCTACCTCATCCCATGCATATGCATATATATGGCTATTGCCATAAAGAATGAAAATTGGCTTTACTGCACGAGACAAATATAGATAGCAATATGTGGTAATAGGCCGAGCAATAAAAAATTAACTTGAGCTTATATAAACGAACATGGAGAGAATAATAGAAGACCTTTTATTTGTAAGCAACTAAAGAGAATGACTTGAAAGATGATCCATTGGGGTTCAAATATAAAAGAAAAGGGCCCATGAACAAAAATACATCCCTTTTTTCAATTGGTTAAGGATCTTGGGATATTTAGGGTTAAGTGTCATTGAATTTAAATAATATTGAGCTAGGTGACATCCTGGGAAATCCAAATTTAAGAGTTTACATTTGGTATCGAAACGGTCTTGGGTCTGACTCTATTGATTGACTAACAAAATCACATCACATGTTAATTGATATTTGGCAGGTCTAGTGTGCTCTGGTTGGGCTTGACTACAGGGGTAGAGTATCAAGAGAGCGGGGCTTTTGGGAGAGTTGTGGCTTTTATCTTCTATTCACAAGGGTGTGAACTTGTAAAGAAGCGTAATGGATTGTAAACAACCAAAGAGAACAACTTGAGAGATAATTCATTAATGTTTAAATATAAAGGGAAAGGGTCCATGAACAAAAGTGCATTTTCTTTTTCAATCAGTTAAAGGTCTTAAGATATTTGGGGTTAACTATCTTTGGGTTTGAATAGTACTAGGTTAGGTGACCTCCCGAGAAATTTAAATTTAGAAGCTTACATTGTTATAAAAATAAGCTTGGAAAGTAAGTATTGGATGAATTGGTGCCGAGTGAACTGATGCCGAGTGAACACCTTGATGATACTCTTGAAAGAAATAATCTTATTTGCGCAAGAACTCTCCACTATTTGTAGGACTCCTCATTTCTAGGAAGAATCTCGGTATCTAAACCTTCCACCACAACAATACCAATATCTTTATTTGCGCAAGGACTCTCCACTACTCGTAAGGTTTCTTATTTCCCAGAAGAATTTTGGTATCCAACTTTTCACCACAGCAATACCAATAGGACATTGTTGATGCCAAGGCCTCCACCCAAGAAATAAACGATACCAATCCAGAAAATGTCGATAATGCTAATATGTGTGACCAACCTCATCACACACTTAGTAGCAACCATCATTACCATGACCATATCCTCACCCTTGTCCTTGAATATGAGTAGCAAGATCAACCTCCATTGAAACAGGACCATCTCCCATAAGAAGTAGAGTTGAAGGACATACTGTGAGAAGTGAAAGAGCCAATGTATCATAATGTTTTGCTAGTTGAAGAGTATTGTCAAAAGTGGTTAAAGCAAATGTATGCATAAATCCCATAAAATCTTGATGAAGTGCTAACCATAACATTCCCAACTTGATTCACTTTGACATATTTAGCTCTACACGAAGCAAAAGACTTTGGAAGCAAACACCAAATTACTGTAAGCTCTAGAATTTGGACTTTTCGGGAGGTCAACCATCCTAGTACTATTCAAACTCAAAAACATTTAACCCCAAATATCCCAAAACCCTTAATTGATTGGAAAAGGGGATGCACTCTTATTTATGGATCCTTTCCCTTTATATTTAAATTTCTATGGATCGTTTCTCAAATTGTTTCCTTTGGTTACGTACAATCCACTATACTTCTTTACAAGTTCACACCCTCATGAATAAAAGTTGAGAGCCGCAGCTCTCCCAAGAGCCTCGCTCTCTTAACACCCTACCCTTCCTTGGGTCAAGCCCAACCGAAGGCAAACTAAACCTGCCAGATGTCAATTTCAACATATAGTGTGATTTCCAAAGACACTTAACCCCAAATATCCCAAGACTTTTAACCGATTAGAAAAAGGGGTGCACTTTTATTTATGGGCCATTTCCGTTTATATTTGAACCCTTATAGATTGTTTTTCAAGTCGTTCTCTTTGGTTGTTTACAATTAAATGACCCTTGATGAAGACAATGCAATTGTTAAAAGGTATTATCACCATCCAAATGTATGCTTAAAGACATATAGGAGAATGCTTCAATCCACATGAGTAGTTATGTTCAAACCATTGTACCATTACAACACTGCTCCTTAGAAATACGTGGGAAATTCATGCAAGTGCCAAGCATCATCCCAAAAATGATAAGTAGTAATCACTATAAAGTGATCAAACCAATAATAAAATATCATCCCTAGGATTCTCATGGAAGAACTTTGATCGAATGTGAGAATTGGCAATAAAAGTAAAAGGAGTTATACATATGCCGTGAATGCCATAGAGTTTGATTGTTCAACTACAACTATATAGCATTGAACAATTACACCAATTACTACTCCAAAGTTAAAGGAGGTGGAAGATGTTACTCTCCTATGAAAATGAGAAAAAACAAAAGAGAGAAAATTTAAAAAGCTATAATGAAAGTGAAATCTAAACAATGCAAAAATTAAATTTAAACTAAAATTTCAAATCCAAGCACTCTTTAAAGAGAATCAAAGTTGCTCCTTACCTGAGTGTATGGAATATAGAATTTTTTTTTTAGAAATGTGCATATTAAATAACCTAAAAAGCTTAGATTATATATAAGGTGAGTAATCCAAATTGAAACCAATTTAATGACTATCAAAAACCCAATATATGCTAATATTAGTATATGGCATCATAGCCATACACTTGCACCTCACAATACTTTATTTTATTTAATATTTAATCATTTTTAATTTTAATATATTTAGTAAATTTCAGTTTAAAATTAGAATATTACATTTTTATTACAAAAACTAAACATAAGTAGTTACTTATAAAATATTTATATTTTTGTTAGTTACACAATTACACACTGTTTAAAAAGGTTTTTAAAGAACTTTCTATTTTGTATTTTATTTCTAGTTTTTTAAAGTTTTGACACGTGATTTTTTTGTCCAGATCAATAGTTTACCCATGTGGACAAGCAAGGGAATGTTGACATGCAAACTAAACAAGAATATATTAGATTTAATCATGTTTTCTTTTTCATTTTTTTTCTCTTTGAAGCAGCACTCACCACAACCACTTATGCATGTAAGATACCCTCCCTCATTTTAGAGGATGCGTATTGCACCCTACAAAATCCAAACAGGGACCCATTGGAGTTGAGAACTTGATCTCTTCTGAAAAGTCACAACCTACATAGGTGAAAAAGGAAAATAAAAATGACTTCTTGAAAAGATCCACAAAATCTTTACAAGAAATATGTATATGTGTCTTTTGTATGTGCTGGAGAATTTTGACATGGAATGGAACCCAATGGAATGGATGATGGCACTAAATTGAAGCTTGCTACTAGTACCTTGGTGTGTTGTGATTGATTGATTGATGTGTTCCATATGGTGGGGCATTGTACTGCAACTTGCCGCATTGATGCCCTTTGAATTTTGTATATAAGGCCATTATAAACAATTATTTCCGCATAGATAGTACCAATGCTTAAAAGAATCTCTTATTTCCCAAAGGGAAGCTGCATAGTGGTATGCTCCAAGGGGCCCAACTTAATCTTAAAAGAATCCGCCCCACCCTACATCTATAGTGCCAACAAAAATCAAATAATCGTGCTTTGTCCCACGATAACGACGTCCACCTAGCAATTAATCTCCCACTAATCAAGCTCCAGTAGCTCCCGGGTTCGATCCCCGTGCCAAGCCGGAGCATATAGAAATTCTTTTTCTTCCTTGGCTGGCGTGAGCCTTATGGCACGTTATGCATTTGCATGAGGGCCCCCACTCCTTGACCCTACAAAGCAACACACATAAGAAAGAAAAGAAAAAAAAACGAAAAAAATATCGCAAAAACTTACCTTTGTTTTGTTTTTGTGTGCTTTTTTTCCTCCCAAGTTCCTAGTAGAGCAGCGTCTTCCATCTTATCCCCTCCATCGCTCCCCGTTTACCTATGTAGTAATCGCAAACAGCCGCAATGGTAGAAGCTGAGAGAAGAGAAGCGAAGAGAAGAGATCCAAAGCTCCAACTTAAGGCGGTAGAGATATAGCTATGGCTGTACCTCTTTGTTACTCTGCAGGGGCGATTTTCCTCGACGAGGGCACCATCAATGCTCCGCTACTGCCACTGCCACAATCATCCGTGTGCTCTCCAGCTTCGCCCTCTCGTTTACTCCCTCCTCCCTGCCCCTGCAGCGTTCAACCTCGTTTAGATATCTACTTGTCCAAACAACAGGCATAGTACTTACAGGTTTATCGCTTCCTCCCCCTTTCCTTCAACTTGGAACTGTTCGTCCTTGCCCATATCACTTATCTGCATTTGCACTACCCCATCCCACTCCTCCTCCATCTGGCTGCTTTGATTCTCTTCTTTCTTTCCATTTTTTTTTTCCTTCCCTCGTCCTCCTGTCTGCCTTCTCTTTTCTCTTTCTCGTTTCTTTTTTCTCCGAGAGCTCTCTCCCCCCCTCCCCTCTCTTTCCATCTGGCCTGCAGCTTCTGGAGAAGGATCTCCTTCTCGGGGAGGCAAGTGCGCGCAAAGATCTCGCCTTGGACAACAGCAGGTCGGTCTCTGACAAGATCTTGTGCTTCATCTGCCTTTCTCTTTCATCACAGGCATCACTGTGGAAGGCAAACAGCGACTTGGACTGGAAATACCTCAACAAAGCTTCTCGGTCTCTTTCTCCATCTCGTAGAGCGTCTCTCACTTCTATCCCTCTCTCTCGCCTCTCTCTCGAGATTCCTGGAGCACACAGGTTCATCATCATCAAGGAAAACATTATACACCATTCTTTCGCGTACCGATTTCCTCGATGCATGGTACGCTGTCCTGCCATTCTGGATCCATTCCCAAGGACCCCCTTTCACGAGCAGCAGCAGCCTTTCACATTGGCAGTGGCAGATGGTGGTAAAAATCACAACTTGGGGCCCTGTAAGTTGAAGCCGACTCCTCACTGGTTTTCATTTCTCCTCCTTCCTGGTGGAGACGACTATTGACCTAAATTCCTGCAAGTAAAACGAAGATCCAAGAGTCAGTCAGCTCAATCGACAAGAAGAAAAGAAGAAAAACTTCACAGGAAGATGAGTGGTTTGTTACCAGATGAATCGAACGGAGAAGTTGCCGGTGGTGGAGCGTCTACCAGCAGGGCCGACGCAAACGCTTCCTCGTCCCAGCAAGCTCCTCCAAGTCGCTACGAGGCCCAGAAGCGTCGCGACTGGAACACCTTTGGCCAGTACCTCAAGAACCACCGGCCCCCTCTAGCGCTCTCCCGGTGCAGCGGAGCTCACGTCCTGGAATTCCTGCGCTACCTGGATCAGTTCGGTAAGACAAAAATCCACGCACCAGCCTGCCCCTTCTTCGGCCTCGCACACCCACCAGCACCTTGTGCCTGCCCGCTGCGACAAGCCTGGGGGAGCCTCGACGCACTCATTGGAAGGCTCCGAGCTGCATTCGAGGAGCACGGTGGAAAGCCCGAGTCGAATCCTTTTGGAGCTCGAGCTGTCCGTCTCTATCTTCGGGAAGTGAGAGAGATGCAAGCCAAGGCTCGTGGCATTGCCTACGAGAAGAAGAAGCGTAAGAGGCCAGGCTCTGCAACTTCAGCTGTTGCTGCCGCTGCCGCTGCTTCCACTGCTGCCTCCGCTGCTGCTGCTGCCGCTGCTGCTACCACTAGTGAAGGCTCTGGAGGCTCAGGCTCAGCTCTGTCCGGGGCAACCACGTCTTCATCACCTTCCGGACTAGGTGACCCCCATCTCCTCTGATTTGATTTCTTCCTTCCGACATCACGAGAACTCTTCCCGAGGCTGCGGCCCATTACAGCGATCCCAGGTGAATACATAAGTAGTAGCATACTTATGTTGGTCTGTAGCCGGGCCTTTTGCTTTCTTTCCTTGCATCTATCTCTTCTTCTTTGTTCCCCGTCTGGTCTGTCTGTCCATCACGAACACGTTTAGTCTCTCGAGAAAGTCCGGACCTTTGCATTCTCGGTAGTACAGGATGGCCGCGGGCTATTGTTCGTTCGTCGCTCGTTCGTTCATCCATCTCGTCAGCCTGCGTTGAGCTTATCGTCTCTTGATGCCTTCCAGATTACATCGGAGAGATACGCTGCAAGGATTTTCGATCAGAAGAGTCAGTGACAGCGCTTCAGAAGATCAATTTAAAGCCCACACCCGGTCATACGGCACGGAAGTTTCAACAAGGGAAAGCTTTACTACTTGAAGCTATGCTGATGGTAAGCCATCAATTCACTGTCTGAAAAATCACAGGAGTACTACCGCACCACAAGCGGACAAACAAAGCCATTCAGAAGTTTGAAGGGACTCGCAGGCTCAATTTCAGGGGCTTACTAATGCCAATCCTGTGACAAAGTTTGAAATATCTAACAAAACGGGAATAGATTTCCTGGAACCAGTCCGCAGCTCACATCAATGTGCACGTAGGATAGCGGGCGAAAGAGAGCAAGAGTTGACGGAGAAGCGGAGAAGAGGACAGAACAGGAAGACTTTGCTAAGTAATAAGACCTCTTCTCTACGTAATAGAATACGAACATATTACCTGGCTAGACATAGATCGTTCCCCAGCTCCTCCACCAAGAACCTGCAAGCATTTGAACAAAGGAATCAGAACCAAGTACTCGGGGGAAGACAATCTAAAGCTAAAAGCTCTAAGAGAAAACAATCACTGTACACAAGAACGCACGCTACTGTGCCCGAGAGCCACGCAACCATGACAATTCAAATCCAAAATAAACAAAGCGAACTTACTTGGTTGTGATGGAGAGCCTCCTTGTGTCCAAACTTAGAAGAACTACTACAGAACAAAGCAAACTTACTTGGCTGTGTCCACACTTGGAAAAACTACAACAGTGAAAACACACTCGTTATGACCATTCAAATCCAAATAAACAACGCAAACTTACTTGGTTGTGATGCGCGTCCCTGTGTGCACACTTAGAACTACAACAGTGAAAACACACCCGTTATGACGTGAAAACCAAAAAAAATTAGAGGAAAGAGTCAGCAATCCCAATGGAAGGAAAGGAGCATTGACATGTGATGCCAGTAAGAACACGAAGAAAAAAAAATTCGAGCTCGGTTGATTCCACCAGGAAAGGACAAAGAGCTTTAAGATCGGCTAGTCAATCTGTCACCAAGACAAGGACTTCTTAGACAAAAACGAATAGAGAGGACGAAAGAATGATTACTACTACCTAGGAGCTCGAAGTATCGGTGTTCTTCTGCTGCGAAATATCGTCGCTCGGTGCCTGGGACTCGTTCTTCTCTAGCTCCGCTCTAAGCTGCTGCGAGAAATCGTCATTGACGTCGTCGTCGTCCCAATCGTCCTCCCACGGCTGGAGCGCGTCCTCCTCCTCCTTGTCGTCCCATTCTGGAGATCAAAGAAGGGGAAGAATCCAGCTCCAGCGACTGTAGCCCTAGCATTGCGATCGTGCTTACCTCCGTTCTCAAACTCCTCGAATTCGTCGTCGTCCTCAAAGAGATCGAGCTTCACCTCCTCCGTCGCCGCGGCGCCGTCTTGCGTGGCCGTGGTTGCCATGGAAATCGATCGATCGATCGATCGATTCGACCAACAGAGCCAAATAAACAAGAACCCTAAGACCTTGCAAGAACCCTAAATATTATTATTCCAGTATATTCCCAAACAGATCTCCAGCCCTTCAAGTTACCGTTTTGAGGGACTCATCCTCCACCGTCGGATCAAGCGATGCACCGTGTGTCCCTTGACACCGAATTATCCGGTTTGGCAACTTCTGTCCAGCGAAGACGAAGAGCAATTCTACCACCACCGCCGAGAAGAGATGAAAGACGCGAAGAACTGGACGACGAGACCGTGATGCTCGATTTCCTGGAAGAAACTGAAGCCCGGTGAGAGATTGAGATGTTCTTCGGCGATAGCCGCCCGGATTCCTCGTACCTCTTCTTCACGGGCTCGGGTTCCAGGTACGTATGGGGATCGGAGATGCTGCTCTTCGTCGGCGGCGTCCTCCTCTCGCTCCAGGAGTTTCGTGGCGCGGCACTGCCTTACTCCAAGTTTGCCGGTCGCCAGCAGAAGATCCTCCAGTTGCCCAGCAAGATTGGAATGCTCATGTTCTACCTCCCTGCGGCGTTGCTCTGCTCGGCTTTCTTGCTCCACAAACTCGAGTACTTTGACGCACCGACGTTCATGGAGGAGATGGGACTCTCCACTTGGGCATACGACCTCCGCCTCCACAACAGTGCCAGTTTGCGCATAGTACTCGTCTCGGCAGCCATGACTTTGCATTTCGTCAAACGAGTCCTCGAGGTACCTATTTGCATTGCAGCTCGCTCAGTAAAGAGAGAAAAACTAAACTCCATTGAAGCAAAGCTAACTTACTTGCAACTGCTAGGTGAATTTTCTTCATGAGTATACCGGAACAATATGCGGAGTGACGAGCATGTTAGTGTCGCTGACTTTCGCGCTACTGTCACTCAATCTCTTTTACGCCCAAGAGATTGCCGAGGCGATGTGCTACCAGCCTACGTACAACACAATGTGGTTAGGAGTTGTAGTGTTCATGGTGGGAATAGTTGGAAACTTCTACCACCACTGCATACTTGCCCGGATACGAAACTCGGCCGAGGGGCTTGCTGCGACGGCCCGACGGGACAGCATCACCACCAAGAAGTACATTGTTCCACACGGAGGATTGTTCGACAAGGTAGCGTGCCCGCAGTACCTGTTCGAAATAGGCACCTTCATTGGGATTTCAATGATCAGCCAAACAACAATGTCTCTTGCCTGTGCGGTGTTCGTCATGCTCTACCTCACTGCAAGGAGCTTCTCCACCCGGGACTGGTATGTTCAGAAGTTGGAAGGCTTTCCAAAGACTCGGAAGGCTCTTATTCCCAACGTTCTTTAACCGAACCACTGTATTTTCTTCTTCCTTAGCTTAACTGCAGAACAAAGTTACGCAAACAACGCAAGACGCAGTCTTTCCTCACACTTTTTTTTTTTCTCTCTCCCTCCTCTTGGAAGGCAAACACAGCAGCAGCAGAGCTACAGGGAAGTCCTAAAAGAGAGCACGGAGAGGATTAATGACCCACACTATAAACCATTCTTAAAGGCGAACCCAAACCGGAGAGCAAAACTCAAGTGAGAAAACTTCCATTCCACTAAAACCAGCTGAAACAAGGAAGACATCACGCACGACATTATACTGAAGAGGAGGGCGAACGAGAAAGAAAATAAATATAAAATGAACCTGGTATTGAGCACTTTGTAGTATACAACATGCTCATGTCAATTGGTGACAACCCAGATTGCCCGGTTTGCATAGTGAAGGCCTTTTCGCTATGCATGATTGTCACTAGCTGAACACAAACGAAAATCGGTCAGAACCACTGCTAGAGAAAATTCTAGCTCGACTACAGGGCGCTCAACTAAGGAAGAAAGCAAAAGGTACTACGATGAAGGAAGAGGAGGAAGGAAAATAAATAGTACAGACGATGTCCAGAACCGGCCCTTCAAAGTGATGACTGATGCCCACCCCGACCAACTAAACGAGCTCCCAAGGATAACGCTACGTCGAGCTTCTCCCTTTGGCGGCTATCCCCGAGCTCTCTTATTGTTGCTACACGATGGACATTTGTACTTTTTGATGTGCTCCGCCCTGGCCGGTGTGATCTTGACGCACTTGCCGTGAAACCACTTCTCGCAGACATCGCAGCCTATCCAAAACTCGTCGGACGTGTAATTCCCCCCGCAAGTTCCACACTGTGTGTCACCGTGCTCTTCGTCTTCGTCGTCAAAAGCTTCGTCCTCCTCCTTCGGGGGTGCCTTGGACGACTTTACACCGCCTTCGTTCTGGTAGTAGCTGTTAGTAAAAACAGAGAAAGGAGAAAGATCGAAGACCCACCTTGACAACAGAGGTCTTGCTCTTGCTTCCGCTGTTGTTCACGCTGGATTTCTCTTTCACAGGTTTCCTTCCAGTGACAGTGTCGAAAACCGTTGGTAGCTCATTCATCATCCCAAACAGTCGTTTCCTGCACCAAATGAAAAATGAAAAAATCTCAGATCTACCACAATCGTTAACAAGAAAAAAGGAACAGCGAGTACCAATAAAAAAATCAAACTGACGGACAAAACTAACAAAAGCACCAACCTTTCACTCTTGTCGAGGCGGGCACCGTGATAAAACGCGACTGCGTAGAGCCAAGCATCGCTGTGTACCGCCACAAGCGAAAGCCAGTCCTTTCGGAGCATGCCATCTCTCGCGAAATTGATACCGAGCGCTGGCTCAGGGAGCTCCGGCGGCACTTCCTCGGCTGGAAGATTCACCTCCCAAGTCTCGTCGGGGAGACCATAAAGGCACAAATTCTCCTTCTCTGGAGTCAATAAGGAAAAAGTGACACCATACGCCAAAGTCAATATCACACTTAAACAAAAGACCCGACCATTATATATACATGTAGTAGCACCACACTAGACTAAAGGATAAGAAAGAGGACAAACCTGGATCACATTGTCGGTAGAACTCTTCCACATCTACATACAATCGCAAGTGGTAAGATTAGCAAGAGGCGCAAAGAAAGAAAAAAAAAATAGAGAGAGCTTAGCTTACCTCCAGAGAGCGCCTTAAGCATCCCGGCTCGCCGCCCCTTGAAATCCTTGAAGACTTCTTCTACTGTGCGTGGATTGGCCACGGCGCCTCCTTCCATCTCCAGAATACCTCGCCCGCGGAGAAAAGCTTCCTTCCCTGGAAACCCTGTTGGCTCGCGGCAGCAAACCCTGGATCGGCAATGCCTCCTACCAAGATTCCAACCCCAAATCTTGCGTTTTTCGGCACCCAGCGGTCAAGCACAAGCTGCGCCGCCCGATCTGCATCCCGGAAGCAAGGAAAATCGCGGCGCGGCGAGCAAATGTGAGAGAAAGAGTGCTCAAATTGAAACGGAGATCACCGGGAGCGCCGCCGCGGCATCAGATCGGCGCCCTAGACACGGAGAGCGAGGAGAGAAGCAGGGATTACGAAGAACAGGGGCTCCGGCGAGAGAAAATAACCTAGTGGTGTGTGTTTCATGGGCATACATGGCGATCAGCCCATGGCCATAAGACTATTCCGGCATATTCCGTGCATTAGGAAAATTTCAAATGTGCCTGAATCCAGCCGTCCAGCTGGACGGCCATAAAAAGCTCTCAATGAAAAAAGAGCCCTGAAAAGGGTACATTCCGTTGCCGGGACTTGAACCCGGGTCGCTCGGGTGAGAGCCGAGTATCCTAACCGACTAGACTACAACGGAAGTGATGTAACCCTTTTCCAGGCAAACCTTACTAAACCCCCTCAGAAAATAATAGAATTAGAAAAAGTATTTCTTTTCCCGGGCATCTGGAACACATAATCCAACGGTAAGATGCCCACGCAACGTCTTTTCAAAGGTATCCCAGCCGTCACTCAAGGGTGTAGCGTGTCAATGGGAGCGCTATGTGTCGTATTTCTGTGTGCCACGGAGTTCTTTGCCCTAGGAGAAGATCCTCTCTGGCAGCGCTCTCTTGTAAGTAGAAATTTCGCGATCCATCGAATCGATCGGCCGGGGCAGCATCCTCTGGATCTAGCTGCCGCGATCGCATCGCATGGCTCTCGTCGCCGCAGCTTGTTCTTCCAGCGCATCGAACATCCAGGGCCTAGATTCTTCCCAGCGCGAGAGGCGACATAGGGATTCTAGTTGCTCCAGCTCTAGAATTGTCGTGGTGAGCAAATTGGAGCAGGGCATTCCAGCTGCTGGATCTAGCAAGAGCTTCGGAATTCTCAAAGACAGGCGAGATTTTTCTTCTTCTTCGAATTTTTTCCTCAAGATCAGACATCTTCAAGCCCGGCAAAATAATTTGGGCGACGAGATTTTCAGATGGCTATCGACACAGCAAAAGAGCGATGGCAAACTGGATTCGTATGCTACGTGGTGCATGTCGCTCGCTGTTATGATCTCCGTGATGATCACACCGGCGGACGCGCAAGCTTTTGTGAATACGTCAACGCAAAGATTCCTGTCGGATGAGCTTGTGACTATCAACTTATTCCGGAATTCGACTCCATCGGTCGTGTACATCACAAATCTAGCAGTCAGGTTTGCAAACTTTGCGCTATTCTTTGCTTTCGTTCGCGAAGAGTTTTAATGATCGTTTTTCATTTTGTGTTGCTACAGGCGAGACGCCTTCACCTCGGACATAATGGAAGTCCCTCAAGGATCGGGATCGGGATTTGTCTGGGACAAAGACGGGCACATTGTCACAAACTATCATGTTATTCGAGGAGCCTCTGACTTGAAGTAAGTTGTGTTTTACGCTTGCAAACAACGAAGAAGAAATAACTCCTCACCTTTTCTTGATGAATAGAATCACAATGGGAGACCAATCTACGCACGAAGCCTCCATAGTCGGCTATGACCAAGACAAGGACGTTGCGGTTTTAAAAATCGATGCCAGCAGCAACAAAACATTACGACCGCTGCCACTGGGGAATTCTTCAGAGCTTCTCGTTGGGCAGAAAGTATTCGCTATAGGAAATCCGGTAAGCAGCTTCGATTGCAGCTTTTTCGGCGATCTTTTCCTGACGTCCTTACGTATATGCACAGTTTGGACTGGATCACACGCTAACCACGGGAGTCATCAGGTGAGATTAAATGTCCTCTTTTCAGTACGGATGCAAAGTTTTATATGCTTTCATTTTCCAGTGGCCTGCGACGAGAGATCACATCTGCTGCAAACGGTCGTCCAATACAAGACGTAATTCAGACCGATGCAGCAATAAATCCCGGTAACAGCGGCGGTCCGCTGCTCGACAGCTCTGGTAACCTCATCGGCATCAACACGGCAATTTACTCGCCATCAGGTGCGTCATCCGGCGTTGGCTTCTCCATCCCCGTTGACACGGTACGTTTTTCGCGCTGCTTTCGGCTGCATAAGGGTGAAAGAACTAAAACTTCGGTTCTTGTCTGGAGGTGGCTGGCATCGTCGACCAGATCATCAAGTATGGCAAAGTGACGAGACCGGTTCTGGGGATTTCGTTTGCGCCGGACCAATCAGTGGAGCAACTTGGCGTGAGTGGAGTCCTCGTACTCGGTGCCTCTCCTGATGGCCCTGCTGGCAAAGCCGTAAGCATCTTAAAACGAAACTTCTACTTCTTCTATCAGAACTTTAAAGCTGACTGGCGCCGCGCAGGGATTGCGATCGACAACGAGGGACGCTTATGGCCGGCTTGTCATGGGCGACATTATCGTGTCCATGAACGGGCAGAAGATTAGCAAAGGCAGCGACCTTTACAAAATTCTTGACGCCTGCAAAGTCGGGCAGACTGTAAGTAACTTTCACATTTCCTTAGCACAGGAAGAGAGAGAGCTTTTGGAAAGCAGTCGAGGTGCTCATAAACTCTTGCTTTTACCTTTTCAGGTAAATCTCGAAGTTCTTCGTGGAGAAGAGACGGTGACCATGACCATTACATTGGAAGCTCGCGACTAATTTCCGGCCAAGGTGGGGTTCCTAGCAAGGATGGCCTCTATAGCATAGTGGTAGTGCGTTCGCTTCGTAAGCGAAAGGTCGCGAGTTCGATCCTCGCTAGGGGCTTGTTTGCATTTTAACCGTTGCTAGTCACAACTTTATTTTGTACGATGCGATACACCTTTTTACAGAGTGAGATTGTCTAGCCATTGATCGTGCACAACGACCATATCTTGTTTAGCCATAAATTCCATACTTGGAAGCGAGCTCAAGGAGGATCTTCTTTACTTCGTCGGTGTGCAAGGACTTCCATTCTTCCATCTGGACAAAGTTTTCTCGTTTCCATGAGGAGATCTTGGAACTATAAGATGGCAAGGAGCTTACTTTCGCGATGAAGCTGTTGATGATCTTGCCTTGGAAGGACGAGAGACTTGCGCTGCTAAACTCCAGCCCGATGGATTCGAAGGCCTTCGCGAGCTGGATGAGAACTCCGTCCGAGTTCCCGCAGTTGATTCTCAAGTAGAACACTTGCTCCTCGAGCTTGGAAACTTCGAGCTGGAGAAGAACAAACTTGTAAATGGATACGAAAGAAAGAGAACTACCTCGACTGCTTTGCGGGAGTCTTGGTTGCGCAGCTTGGCGTAGTGCTGGTCGACGTCGGTGGAATAGCTGCAACCCCGGTGGTCACTGACGATCATCTCGTTCCAGGCGTCGACGACGCTCCCGAGCTCCACTTCTCGCCTCTCCGCCGCCTCGAGGCTCGACACATCCTCCTGAAGCTCTTGCACCTTTCCCTGCAGCTCTTGCACGTAATCAATAGCGTCGGCCACGATTGACGCCTTGTCCATCTGCAATGCAATCCAATCCAGTCAAAGGTTTCATCCTGAAAGGTTTCTACGTTTCGAGAGAGTGAAAGTTCTAGCTCTGGCTCGAGAGGTGTTCTAGGGGAGCAAGAAGAGAGAATGATAAACCTTGCTAATCTTGGGGACGATTGCTCGCAGCGAGTAGAGCCTCTCGTTGAGCTTCTTGCGTCGTTTCCTCTCCGACACCAGGTTCTTGGACGCGCTCCCGGCGGCCTTGGAGCAAACTTTGCTCGCTTGACCTTGCTGCTGCTGCTTCTTCACCTCGTCGCCGCAAGCATCGCGCTTCACGGTGGCTTTCTTGCCATCGCCACTCTTGGGTCCGAGGTCCTCTTGGGCGGAGAGAACTCCGCCCAAGGCCGGAGGAACCATTGCCTTGAGCCTCCCAGCCTTTGGAGTCTTGGAGCTGTTACAACTCGCGCTACTGTACACTGGGTTGCCATAGAGCTCGTCCCCGGGATGAACAACAGTGTCCAAAGAGCCATGCTCTTTTCTATCGCTGGATTGATGGTCCGGAGTAGCCACCGCGAGTGCTGCAGCGTTTCTAGCCGCATTGCCGTGGTGATCCTGGGGAGAGCACGATGCCGCCGCGGACAGCATCCCCATGCTGTGCATCACCTCCTTTTGGTTGTGGGTGTTGAGGAGAATCGGCAGGAGCTCCAGGAAATCGTCGCAGCCTTGCGAGGAGAATCCCTCGTTGGTCATCCCGGGAGTTTCTGGGTCCTGTCACACACGCGAAACAAAGATATAAGGTCGAGTTCATCAGTCGAAGAAAGGAGGTAAAGGCACTTGTGGCTCACCATTGCAGTCACCACAGCCAGCCCAGAAAAGAAGACACAAAGTTCTACGATTTGTATCTTATGATGCTTAGATCGTCCGAGAGGAGCAACGTACCGACCAAATCTTTTCCTCGAGTTTTCAGAGGACAAAGAGCTAGACCGAAGGACAAAGGTATGGGTTTCGCCTTTAAAATGCCTAGGCCTTGTCACTCTCAAAATGCCCAACAAACAGAGCTCTTGAGCGAGAACAACATGGAGAGCCAGGAAACAAAAATGAGAATCCTTGCTTCAGCTTGATGATCGATCGAGACTTCTTAGTCCTTTATCTTCTTTGCAGTTGCTGTCTCCGGTGTGCATTTAAAAAGAAGCCTCCTTCTCCTCGCTGCTCTGATTGCTCTCTCTTTCTCTCGCCATCCATGCAGGGTGATAGAAGAGAAAGTTAAGGGCAAAACGACAATGGCAGCGAGATGTGTTGCGTGCCATGCATGCACTGCCCTAAAAGATGACAAGGTGACGGAACATCGGTGTCAAAGGCCATAAAATGGGAGCGTGTGTGTCTTTATTGTTATTTGATGGCGAAAGAATCACCAACGATAGTCAAATACGGTTACCCTAGTCAAAAATAGTCAACAGCTGGCTGCCACGTAGCCACAAAGATGCGATGGAATCTCCACGCGGAAGGAAGCGCGTTACTGCGAGAGCCTACATTTGGCTAGGGTTTTTGGATCGCGGCGCGTGGATCTCTTACTTCCGGGTAAGCGATGATCGATCTCAGCTAGAATATCTAGATCTATGTAGGAATCGCGATCAAATTCGATCGTTGCGGAATTGATAGAGAGCTCGATCGTCCATTATTTTATTTTGTTTGTGATTTTCTAGGCCTTGGATCTCTTGGTAAGCGATGATCGATCTCAGTTAGAAGTTAGATCTATGTAGGAATGGCGATCAAAATGCGGAATTGATAGAGAGCTCGATCGTCCATGCTTTGCTGAGAGTTTTGTTTGTGATCTTTTCCAGGCTTTGGACATGGCGCAGCAAGTGAAGCATTTGGAGGTGGACGTGGAGAAGAAGATGCATCTGGAGGACAGTGGCATGGAGAAGAAGAAAGAGAAGAAGGAGAAGAGCGCGGAGGTGGACGAGGATCACAAGGAGAAGAAGAAAGAGAAGAAGGAGAAGAAGGAGAAGAGCGTGGAGGTGGACGAGGATCACAAGGAGAAGAAGAAAGAGAAGAAGGAGAAGGAGAAGAGCGTGGAGGTGGACGAGGATCACAAGGAGAAGAAGAAAGAGAAGAAGGAGAAGAAGGAGAAGAGCGTGGAGGTGGACGAAGATCACAAGGAGAAGAAGACGGAGAAAACAGAGAAAAGCTTGGAAGTTGATGATGAGAAGGAAAAAAAGAAGGAAAAGAAAGAGAAAACGTTAGAGGCTGAGCATGACAAGGGAGATGAGAAGAAAGAGAAAAAGAAGGACAAGCATGGCGATGACGCGAAGGAGAAGAAGAAAGAGAAGGAAGGATCAGGCGAGGGCGATGAAGGGAAGGAGAAGAAGAAGGAAAAGAAGGACAAGGAGAAGAAGAAGGATGGAGAAGAGGGTGATGAATCGAAGGAAAAAAAGAAAGAGAAGAAAGACAAGGAGAAGAAAGAGAAAGGCAAGGACGAGGGAGACGAAGTGAAAGAGAAGAAAAAAGAGAAGAAGGAGAAGAAAGACAAGGGCGAGGGCGATGGCGAGAAAAAGGAGAAGAAGGAGAAGCATGGAGACGAGGAGGAGAAAATGAAAGATAAGAAGAAGGAAGCAAAGCTGGAGGGCGATGACAAGAAGAAAGACAAGGAGAAACACAAGGACGAAGACAAGGTACTCCCTCAAATCGTTTGATCCATTTCTTACCATTTTGTTCGCTCATTGTCTTTGCAGAAGAGTATCAAGGACTAGGACGACGAAAGCTTTGTACGTAAATGGTATGTTAATAAATCGTGAAACGTTTTTTTGGTTCCAAGTTCCAGGCTAGAGATCAACGTAGTTTTCAGTGATCTCCAGAGACCATGCATGGCGTTGAGTGCCAGCGATCTCAGGATACCATTTGGTCCTCACCAAGGTCTGGCGCTGGGAACACTCCCGGATCACTACTTGACAAGTCTCGCAAGCTCGGTTCCTGGTCTCAAATGGGGTCGGCTGGCCAGAGAAGTTTTAGACCAGCGCAGCGGAGCCGAGGGAGCCTTCCAGCTCGCAACACTCGTCAAGTCGTGTGACAATCTCCTCCATGGCCGAGAGCTACACGGTCGGATCCGGAAGAGCGAGCACCATTTGCAGGACAGGTACCTCTTGAACCTTTTGGTGGAGATGTATGGCAAACTTGGGAGCTTGCAGGAAGCGAGGGCGGTGTTTGACAGCATCGCGCAGCCGAATGTCTACTCGTGGAGCATCATCGTCTCGGCGTATGCCCAGAGCGGGCACACCAACGAGGCAAGGTTGGTGTTCCAGAGAATGCCGGAGAAGAACATCGTCTCGTGCAACACGCTCATCGCAGCGTACGTTCAAGACGGTCGGACACGAGAAGCCAGGGAGCTTTTCGATGGAATGCGAGACAGGGACGCAGTCTCGTGGAACACTTTGATCACTGGGTATGCTCGGAACGGGCAGCTCCAGGAAGCCAGGAGATTGTTTGACAAGATGGAGGATCGAAGCATAGCTTCCTGGAACGCGATGATCGGGGCCTATGCGCAAGAGGGCGATGTCGAAGAGGCCGAGAAGCTGTTCTTGCGAATGCCGAGGCTAAACGTTGTGTCGTGGAACACGGTGGTGACTATGTATAGGCAAAATGGGGAGCCCAGGAAAGCTCTCGAGCTCTTGAAAGAGATGCCGGAGCCAAACGTAATGACTTGGACGGTCATGGCACAGACGTATGCCCTCGTTGGACATATGAAAGATGCGAAAGAAACTTTTGATGGGATGCCACAGAGGACGATTGTCTCGTGGACGATGATGGTGAAAGCTTATGCCGAGAAGGGTCATTTGCTAGAATCGAAGAGGGTGTTTGATTCCATGCCCGAGAGGAATGTGGTATCTTGGAGCACTATGATACAGGCATATGCCCAAAATGGGCATCTAAAGGATGCTAAAAATCTCTTTGACTCTGCGCCGGTCAAAAGCATTGTGTCGTGGACTTCGCTGCTTCAGGGATATTCCCAGGACGGGCATTTGGGAGAGGCAAAGGGAATCTTTGATGCAATGCCTGAGAGGAACGTAGTCTCTTGGAATGCGATGCTTAGAGCATATGCCCATGCCCAGAATATAGAATCTTTGGACAGCACACTTAGAAAGATGCCACAGGCGGACTTGGTCTCGTGGACGATTCTGCTCACAGCATATGCCCAGGCTGGGAATCTCCATGAAGCAAAGAAGGTATTTGACCGGATGCCACTGCACGACCTGGTATCTTGGACCAGTATGGTCTCGGCATATTCCCGGGGCGGCCATTTGGAAGAGGCGCGTGTCATGTTTGATACAATGCCGCTGAGGAGTGTGGTGACGTGGAACGTGATGGTTGGTGCGTACGGCGAGGCTCGCCTGGTTGACGAGGCCAGGAAGCTGTTTGACTCGATGCCGTACCGCAGCGTGGTGACATGGAATGCGCTGATCGCGGCGTACGGTCAGAGTCTTTGCGTTGACGAGGCCAGGGCCAGCTTTGACTGGATTCCGGAGCGGGACGGGGTGACGTGGAATGCCATGCTTGCCACGTATGCTCACCACGGTGACGTGTTTCAGGCGTGGCACCTTTTTAGCCAGATGCCCGCGAGAGACACACTGTCCTGGACGGCCATGGTGGCAGCATATGCCCATTCGCGGCATCCACAGAGCCCCAAGACTCTCCTCTACATTCTTAATTTGGAGGGTGTTAGTCGGGACGAAGTAACGTTTATGAGCATTCTTACGGCATTAAGCCACTCAGGTCATTTGAAAGAGGCTTGTCAATGCTTTGGCTCGATGGAGTTTGATTACTTTGTGGTTTCCAAGGAAGAGCACATCTGTTGTATGATTGATGTTCTTGGTAGAGCTGGACTTGTGAACGAGGCCAAGGACCTGTTTGATAGCATGCCTTACGATCCGGGCAAGGTGGCGGTGGCGGCATTCCTGGGTTCGTGTGGAAGACAACCAGATGTGAAAGTTACTAGTGCCAGATGTGCTGCAAATGAGGCTATCCTCGATCGGAACTTGTCCAGATTTTCAGCTACGTATGTTCTTCTCTCTAACATGTATACTCTGTAAACCTGAACTAATTGAAATTTACAAACACAACTTGAACTTTAGTGGTGACTTAAATGTTGGTTGAAATGTGCACTTCTGCCCAGGAAAAAAGCCAAAAAGCTGTTAGGAGTTCTATTTCTTCATTCTTCCTTTATGGGGAGCAAGGCGCTCTTGTTGCTGCTACTAACAGTGCTTCTTGTGTCTGCTCAAATTCACTGTGGAGTTTCGCTAGCAGCAACGGGCCATCTCAAGGCAGAAGATGAGAGGATTGCAGCAGTGGCAGCGCTTGAAACAAGGTGTGAGCTTGTGGAGAGATACGAAAATGGCGATTCTTGTGATGAGCTCCATTCTCTGGTCCAGTTTCTGCTCGACATGAACTATCCATCAGTTGATGCGTGGCAGCATTGTCTTGTTGCTCTGGAGAGCTGCACAAATGGGGTAAAAATCTTGCAGAAATAATATTTACAATGGACTTTGATAGTCTTGTTTAAGTTTTTTTAACAATAACAGGACACAAAAAACCTTCTCCGCCTTCTCATACCCGAACCATGTGAGTTCTGGACAGGTCTAATACTTGAAGCCGATGAACTGGGCCAGTTATTGCGACCACTCTCGAATGCCTGAACAGAAGATGGAGGCCTTGAGCTAAACTGAGACTGGGTGCTGCTCGTGTATGTGGGCTGATCCAAATCACGTCTAAATGATCTGCCCGAGTTCTGGACAGACGCTGCAGATTTAATTCTTGAAGCTGAGTCAGGGGCTGAGGACTTCTGAACCGACTGCAAGCTGGAAGCTGAAGATCCATCACTGGTTAGGCTCCACCAGTTGTTGCGACCATCTTTAAAAGCCTGAACAGAAGATGGAGGCCTTGAGCTAAATTGAGACT